TCTTTGCTGAACTTGGACCTCCACTGACAGTGAGGAGGCGTCAGGTGGTGCAGGAGGAGGCAGCGGAGGTCAGAACGGCGGGTCAGATCCTGTTTGAGTGTCTTTCCTTCTCTTCCTCTGCCCATAAACCAGCCTCATCACCTTTAAATAAAAAAACCTCAGCCCGTCTTTCCCCTCCTCTCCTCTTCTTTCCGCTCCTTCCCGGCCGGCCACCTCCGACTCCTCGAACGGGGCCAAAAGCGCTGATGTCACTGTTGTTATTTTCAAAAAAAGGGGGTGAGCTCATTTGTTGAAACCACAGGGAAGCTCACGTCCAAGTGTCAGCGAACGGGCCCACGGGGCCTTTGGTGGCCCCGGGAACAGATCTGGGAAAAGTTGGGCCCGTTTTCCGTTTTTTTTTTTTACTTAAGTATTGCAAGTAGAAGTATTTCAAAAATTGCTACTCCAGTATTGAAAGTACAAGTATAAGTAAAAGTACAAGTACTGTGTATATTTAAAAAATTCAGTCAAAAGTTTGATAGACATTGTTTGAATTACTGTATTTCAAACGTGTGAAAGGCCAAAAAACAGAAAACAAAACACAAATAAAAGATCTCCAAAGGCTGGTGGAGAACCTTATGATGGAACAGCCCAAAAGCACCAACGTGAAGCATCATGTTGCTTCCAAAAAGAAGAAAGAAACCGTCATAAATCGACCTACTTGCATCAAAAAAGGCCCAAATTAGCCATTATCCAAATGGCTAATTGTTGCGGAATAACAGTATGTAACGAGTAACGATTCAGCCCATGAAAGTAAAAGTAAAAGTACTAAAATAATCCAAAATATGTAGTGGAGTAAAAGTAGGGAAAAAAATATATACTCCAATAAAGTACAGATACTGCATTTTGGTACTTAAGTACAGTACTAAAGTAGCTTTACTTCATGAGGGGACAGGGAAATTGGCTTCCAGCTAAATCAGTGGGACAGTTAAGTAAGGGTTATACAAACTCAAGACTATAAAAGGAGAAAAAAACTAAATAAAGAGACATAAGGAAACGGTCAAACGAAGGCAAGAAGCAACATCATAATCGCATCAGACGTGAAGAATTAAAAACACTCCTTTGCACATTTCTGAGTCTGGCTGGAGGAGTCCGGGTTGGGGGGGTTTGGGATGGGGGGGGGGGGGGGCCTCAGGCTAGCTGACCGTGACATGGAAAGAGTGACACAGCTTTGCTAGATGTGCCAGAGGACTGATAAAACACACATTTTTTTAAAGGTCCACAGGCTTCACGAAAAAGGAATCCACACGAAAACCGTGTTTACACGCTTCAGATTAACTCCCGGGAGAGTTTGGCGAAAGTTTCCTTCAGTTCGCGTCCTGATGTTTGTGTTAAAAAGAAATCTTAAAATTCATAATAAAGTGACTCATCCCTCTAAAAGTAAATATTGTCAACACATTAATCTGGACCAGCTGGCAGATTTAATCCAGTTTTGGTTTCATTTCCTGTTTTTTAAACAGGGTACGGTGATTTTGGCCGTTAGATGGTGTGAAGGACGTTAAACGTCCACGTCTGAGGCCATAAATCAGCAGCAGAATCTGATATTTGAT